GGGAGGGTAGAGGGAGATGGAAATGTGCCTGTTCTTATTTTGCTCACGATACCGATATACCGGTATTGTCTGTCATTGTATAATACCCACTGTCTCCCCTCATTCCTTTTTCTTAATGTTATTTATATGATTTGTACCACACACTGTGGATGCAATCTGAGACATAAGAATGCTGAGCAATGACTATCATGGAATAAATTGTTTACTTGTCTAATCATTTAGAAATCGCATCACAGCTGATTAAAAGAACCAAGAGAAATTGGGTTCCATTCCCAAATTCACTGAATTAGTATCATAAGAGCATATCCACCTCCCATGGTGGTGCCACAGACTGAAGTGACTTTAGGCCATTCCCAAAGTGGGGACATTTCTCGTTCATGCGCAGTAGAATTGTAAATGGGCTGATCCAATAATGTCATGCTCATAACTATGCTTGAACTACAACAGGGAACTGCTGCTTTTTCTTTCCTAATCCTTACTATCGTCTTTTTCCTCTACTTCTTTTGTATGTTTGTCACACTCTTGTGACCCGCTATTTGCGGGGTGCCTTGACAGTCGAAGCAGACTTTGTGCTGTTAAAGCTAGAGAGGTGAGCAGAGTAGGTCTGATTCCCTGTAAGGACTTCTCTGGTGACATCCACCCCATGGCGCTCATATGACCTTATGCAGTTGTGAGCGCCGCAAAACCTCTACTAAAACAAAGAGCATGTCTAAGCCATGACTAGGATTTAGTGCACAGAAACGGCCGCTTGTACAATATCACTGGGATACCAGTAGATGCAGGCTATGCTGGAGCTAAGGCTTTCCTTCTCTGAATATCTCTTATTGTCCATGTAACTGTCTTTAGTCGTAATTGTGAGAAATTGTTCTCCTTTGGGTAGTATGATATACATTGCAGAAAAGATTTTGAAGAGAATAATTGCAAAATGTCTTTCAGGAAAATTGCCATCCATGTAAATCAAGACTCTTAAATCAATGTAGTAGCTTTTTGTTTCGAGAAAAGGCAATGAAGAAAGCTAATTACCAGGTACATAATTCTTGTGTCATGTAACATTGCCTGCTAGTTAATTCATAAGATAGTGCATGCAAGAGAGATGTATGACTTTTTTGGGGGAGTGAACTGAATGCACATTTGGTAAGCAACAATTTTGAGCATATCATGTTTTCATTTTTTTTTTTATTGCTTTCAAACATTTTTCCAGAATAAATTTATTTAATTACTGCCTTGAAGATATAGTAAAAATACATTAATGCTTTGGTTGAGAGAGGGTTTGTTTTTGTAAACAAGGTTCTTTTCTGACTACTGTGGTTCTCTTGAAGAATTTTCAAGCAAAAAAAGGAATGTGGACAAACGAATGTACAAGTATGCCAAGCCACCCTTTGATTTTCAGACGTGTTTATGTGTATTACTTTCTCAGAAGTAACCATAAATTTCAGAGTCAGTTGTGTGTACTGACATTGTTGAAATAGCCTCCTCCATGTTTTCATACTGTAAAGTGAGATATTATTACATCAAAATGTGGAAGAGAGGGAACATGCAATTTTTCATCTTACATATAATATGTAAAGAACAGGTGCATTTAACACCGTCTATGATTAATTTAAAGCAACAGCAAAATGCCTTTTGGAAAGCAAGATTTTATCTCACAAGAGGCAAATTGTTATTCAAATTATTATGACTTTGGGTCCACTTTTTTACTGACTTCTGTAATGGACTGACAGTTAGTTCAAAAAAAGAGTTATACAAACCTCCCTCCCCACCCCAACACAAAAAAATGCACTTTGATTTCATATCAGTGCTCTACACAGTTTTTATTTTTATTGATTTACTTTTTATCATTGATTCTGTGGCAAGAAAAATGCTCAACTCTTTTTAACCTCTTTTTACAGGGTGTGCACATAAATTCAAGGTTTTCATATTACTTAAAACAATGCTTAATTATATATGCCATTCTCAAAGTATGGAAGATTTCTATTGGGTGAAAACTCAGTACTACTGAGCATAATTCATGTAGAAATATAGAGGTAGTGTCTATAGTTACTTTGCAACTCTGTAAGGACTTTATTCTTGTGATTAACTATGGGATTTTTTAAAACTTCAGTCAGAAAAACAATGTCCGATATCATGCATCATTATAATGAGTGTCGTCCCCACATTTTTACAGTCTCACCTTAATAGGAGAATATCACATCATATCTGAGAACTCTTTGAGCCTCTATTTGGTTTGATATTTACAACAGAACCTTGCAGAAGACACCCGCGTCACAATGCAATGAAAATAAACACAGGAAAAAAACAACGTATTCCAAGACCATAGACCTAATTGCATAGAGTTGTGGACTTCAGCCGCTTTCTGATTAAATCTTTATCTTTATGGTCATTTCTTAATTGAAAGGGTTATTTCACACATGTTCTCCTTTTTTATTGTTTGTCATGGATAGAGGAAAATCAGTATTTCAGCCTTTTGAGAATGGCTCATGCATACACACATAAACACACACACACACACACACACACACACTCGCGTGCGCATGACATGCACATGCACACACACAGATACACACACACAGACACACATTCACACACACGCACACACACACACACGCATACACACACACTCATTGGTGCACGTGCAAACACACATACACACACACACACACACACACACACACACACACACACACACACACACACACACACACAGTGACAAACATACCTGGGCCCTATGTAAGCACACTGAAATGCACATTCTTATAAATACATGTTGATGTATCTTTATAAACACTGTGGTAAATACGCTTGCAGTTAAACAAAGCTCACCCCCCCCCCCCCACACACAGACACACAAACACACACACTTGAACAATTCCTTTATAATTACAGAAATCATGATTGATCCAGATTTGCATGTGAGTAATCTTTACATGAAATGGCTGAGAAGGTCAGGCCTAGACAACTGTCAATAAAATGCAATGTGCAAGCCTTGAGTGACTTCAATAGATATATATATATAAAAATATGCTTTTGAACGCCAATTTTCCTATGGCTTGTGTTCATTCTTCCTTACACAGTTTACTACAGTGATATTTGATGGTGATGATGACAGGTACAGTGTACTTACTCATAACTATGTACAGTACCTTGTTTGAATTCCATGTATATATACAAATATTTCAGAGGTATGAATGAACCCTATATTTTCTTAATTTTTCAAGGTTTTACTTTTCTCATGCATTGTACATTCCACCTGCTATGTATCAGCCATTTGAAGACTTTCATTTAAGAACATAAGGCAAGCATAGTAACATACCTAGAAATGAAAAACAAGTCTAAGAATTCTAATACTAAAACGGACAAATCTGCACTATAAATAGAAAAACTAGATCTGTTTATAGGGACGGTACCAAAATGTTGAAACTATTTTGGTTGCTTTTGGCCAGGTGCCTTGCAATATTTAGCACTGCATGCGCCAAAAAAATTTATTTTTTTCATGATAGCTTCAACAGATTAAGAGCAGTCCCTCAAAATTATGACTTGCTTGCACAATGATAAGTTCTTTACAGAAGGAATTAGGTACATAATATCGACTGAAACATTTTTCATACATATATAAGTAGTAGTGTATATGCAGTATAAATATAGATTTATTCTTTATTCAACAAATAGTCGGATTTAATAACTTGCTATGTTTTAGAGAATGCTTGGCAATTTGTGAATGCAATGCGTGTATATTGTTCTTCCCTGAATCAGTAGCTGCCTTTAATTCCCAAATACTCCAGTTGCTGTTCCATTGACAGTCTACAGAACATAAGAAAGTGCTGAGATGATGTGGGATCAGGATCCACGCAATTTAATGAAATTTTGTATGATCACCTCTCTGATGTTAAATTTTATCTAGATAAAAATAAATGTTCTATCTTGCGTACTTTTGGATATGTCAGTTATATTTTAGAAGTCAGTCTTCAGAAAATAATTTCTTTTGTTGATGATTCTTGTCAAAGTTCAGGCTTGTCAGACTGGCTTTTCTTTTCTAAGTCTCCAGCCTTTTGGATAAACGTAAATGAATAGATATTGGTTTCTTGATTACACTGTCTTTTCATTTGCAATGTTCTAAACATGAAAAACTGATATTCTCATGTAAAAATACACATACACACACATGCACACACACACACACACACACACACACACACACACACACACACGCACACACACACACACAAATATATAGGCCTATATATTATATATGTATATATGTGTGTGTGTGTGTGTATATTTGTACATATAAATATATTATAATATATAGACATATATAAAAATGAAATCAAGCCTATTGATCTCTCAATCAGGTTTGCAGAGTCCAAATTTATCAAAAAGGTTTGGGGTAATAATACTGTGTCCTTGAAAGTGAAGAGTTATCCAAGTGCTTGAATATTAACACTGCACAATATAAAAATACGTTGAGAGAGAAAAAGGTGTTAAAATGTGCAGAAAAAGTACAAGTAAACACTGTTAGCTAAACAATGGGAGCCGTTTTGTGAGGTTTATAGTGTGGCTTCCTTTGTTTATTTCTTATCATCTTTATACTTTATAATAGGCAATATTGCATCACAGGACTTATTATCAACTTTGGTGTTCTGTAAACAATTGAACCTCAGAAAAATAGTTGTTTAATAATGTTACTATTAATAGCCTCCATTTCGTGTGTTTTGCAGAAGCTTATTGTTAAATCCTGTTGAATGCGAAACGTATTGTTGAATGGATTCCTGAAATCAGACCTTGCAACTGTGAAAGTTTTACCTTACTGAAGTGTGTATATATATGAACAGGTTGTGAATCTCATTGTACGTGATTTTGTTGTTGCTGGGTTGTTGTTTTTTTATTGTGGAATGCGAGTGGG